ATAATTTATATTGTTTAATATATTTAGAATTCATAAACAATGCACAATAAGTAAAGGTACAAGATAAAATATTTATTCACATCGACTTTTTATTTATAATAATATTTTTTTCTTTTATTCATGCTCAATTCGTACTTCTTAGTTTTTTTACCGATTTATCCATCCTTAACTGAGTGGATAACCCCCCTTATTAATTATCCTTAAGTCCTTACTCAGAAGTGAACAGAATATTATTTACTTGTAACATAATTTACAAGTAAAATTTTTTACTCGCCACTCAATGTATCTATTTTTTAAGTATTAATCAAATTAAAATATAATTTTAAAAAATATTTATACATAATTAACTCAATAATAAAATATAAAATAATATTAATAAAAATAAAATATTAAACATTTATAATGTTTTACAAACAAAATGTATTAAACATTTATGAATCAAAATTTGATTAACTTAAATAGAATTGAAAATAAAAATAAAATTTTATTAATTATAGATAATAGTGGAATAGATATATCATCAAGTCTATAAGGCCTAGTATCTGTTTTAAGTGCATAATTTTTTACTCACACTCACCTTATAATATAATTATAATTTGTCCAACTACTCATCTTGACATATTATATTAAATTTAATGTATATATAAATTATTTTGAAAACGATAAATAAAAAATTTGAAATTAAATTTAAAGATAACAATACAAATTAACAATAATCTCAAAATGTATTCTAAAAATATAAATATATATATATGTTACAAGACGTTTGCGGTGAGGAAGAGTTTTAATTAATTTTTCAAGTTTGATTGATTTATTTATTTTGAAAATTGGTTTCTCTGAAGCAAAATCTGCTTTCTATCACAAAATCTCCTTTTGGCACTGCATGCTTCCCCATTAACACTTAGTTCATCATTGTACTTGTTTGTCTTGGGCCTCTTTTCTACTATTTTTCAAGTTTCAACAGTGTAATTTGTCTTCCATATCCATTTTTTCTGTTCCAAAAAATCTTCCATGCTCCAAACTTTCAAATGAAGTAATCCTCATTGCTATTATTTTGGTTTTTGTTTGTTTGTTTCTTTCTTTTTTCTAGTTCCATTTTGTAGAAAATTAAACTAATATGTTTAAATATTGTGTTTAATAGTAAACACTAGAATTTTATGTAAGTAATGTTAAGGTAAGATAATACACTTAGTTTGTTCTCCTTTATCAAATTCTATAAATATTTCCTAAATTTAAGTAAAAGTAATTTCTTACTAGTTCTTATTTTCTTCCATGATCATGTCCTCTCCCCTTTCTCTAAACTTCAAACACATAAAATAAGAACCTATAATGACTTCAATGACATTATTAAGAATAAAGATTACTTTATACCCAGAAACCTACTGAGCTAGCCTCCAACCCATTTTCAGCCATTTGTTCCTTTCTAATCCTAAAAGATTCGTAAGGAAAAAGTACTCCATTCTCCACTCAAAACTACCAATTTACCTATTTTGAATAATAAATGACTTGTTAAAGGTAAAATATAAATATAATAGTAATTTTTTAAAAAATTAAAATGGAAAATGGAGATATTCAACATTCACCATCACTATCTCAAAATGCAAGAACATTAACCTAGACATGAAAATGATAATCTTTTACAAGTTTTTAACTTGGCATATCACTTGTTAAAAACCCTTATAATACTATGAAAGAGATGTCACTAAAAGCTTATAACTTATCAATGCTAATAAAGATGAGAGTACAAGACACAACGACAAAATGTAAACCTCCAAAAAAGAAAAAAAGCCAAACTCTCTAATTAAGACTAGGATCAATGCTAAAAAAAGAATCAACATTATGATTGTAGAAGAATAGTTCTATCCCATCTACACCAAATTCTTAGAACATACACTCTCCCTCATATCACCCAAGAACATATCTTTTCTAATGAGGATAAACTAAATTAATTTTTCTTAACCATAAATAGTTGAGTACTTATTTATAAGATTCAATACGTATTTAAAGAAGTCAAAGGGTTCATCATCATTATCGTAATAAGAGGATGAAAATTGTATACATTGAATACTAAATTTTTCGTATTAAAATGCTGTTCACCTACAAGTCCGTTGTAGGATGTCCTCCCCTTAATTCTCTTAAGGATTGAACTAATATCCTCCCTTAATTTGATGATGAAGTTCTCCATTAAAGTAGGGTTGACCAAGTTAGAAGAAGATTAAGAATAAATAGATAATCTCACCTTATTATCACAAAATAAGAAAGAATGTTATAAAGTTTGCTCTGATATCGAAAACCCTCTCCTTGAAAGTCCACTAACCAAAGTAACTTTCAAAGTTACCCATATCAATAAAAAAATATACTCAAGCTAAAAAAGAGATAATCTCGAATATTTTAATCTTAAAAAAAATGATATAAGCTTCAAAGTAGGTTTATAACTCATATATAAGCTTTATACTTTCTCCATAATATGAAAAATATTTAACATTTAAGATAATATGTACATAAACTTTTAAAAAATAAGTTCAAAAATCAAGAGACATAAATTAAAATCAACAAGTTAGACACAAAAATCTAGAAAATCTATATCATTCTAAAAAAGGATGTGAATCTAAGAACAAGTAGGAAGCAAGGTAAAACTTGAAGAAAACTATTTAACTTTTAATAGTAGATTTAAATAAAGCGGACAACATACACCATATAATAATATTGCATGACATGATATGGCATGTGCCATGCTTTGTGGTGACATGTTTTCTACTTTTCTTTTTTTTTTTTCTCTCATCATGTTAACTGAGATAAATAAATTGGAATTTATAGCACATGAATTAGTCATACTTTTGTAGTTTTATTTATTTATTTATTTTACTTATTTATCATGATACTTTGTCTTTTTTCTTTTCTCTATTTTTTTCCCTCCCAAGAAAATTTGTGAAATAAGGTTGAAGAAGGGGTGTCAAAGGCACTGAGTTTTGAATATATTTATTTATTTATTTTTTTTAAAGGATGCAATTTGATTATGGATAATAAATTATATTAATTGATACAATGCATGGTTACAACTATGCTTAAAATTGAGTTATTCAAATTAGAAAATCTCATTCTTAAATGGGCTAATCATGTTATTAATGACTAATATTTTGTTAGCTATTAGAAAAAAAATTTATACATTTTGACTTATACATTAATCAAAACATAATTAATTAATGATACACTCGAGAATATAACTCGATTCGAATTCACAAATTTCATAAAATAAATAAAGGTAATTACCATTAAGATAATGAATAATTAGTTATGAGTACTATATATTTTTTAAAAACTCAATACTAATATATATTACATATATTATGTATGCCTAAGGAAACCCATGAACTCTTATTTATTTAGATCTTAAATCTTATGTGATAATTAAAATTGAACAGTGCAAATCATCAGTGTTGACTGTTTTAATTTCACAGCATAGAAATTCCAATCAATAATTATGAGATTGAATTGAAGATTGCAATTTGGAAGCACTCCACCTATATATGCAACTTGCAATTCATGAGCAAATCTGGAAAATCAAATCTTGGATCTGGGTATATATATACAATCTCATACATATGTTTTTGAGTGCGGTTTGGTAGGTCGAACCTTGTACATTATTAATTTTGTTGTTTTCCTTTACAAATATATATATATATTCTCTATAAGTTTAATTTTCATAATACAAATGGAGACAAATTATCTTATGTACAAAATAAAAAATATTTAATTCAACAAAAGATTAAGACATTCAATCGCCCGATAATGCATAATTAAACTGTTAATCTTTTTTTAGTAAGAAAGCTCGTCCTAATTAATATAAATCGTAAATCATCATCGGGTTTGATCTAAGCGGCCGATCTAGATATTTGATATATATACTTTTTTTATTTTTTAAGATTGAATTACGTTACTAATTTTTTGAAATTTTTTGTTCAAAATGCACACTGAATTGACTAGATAAAAATGTAAATAATTATTTTTTGCATCTAGATCTAATATAATTAAATATATTTGAAATGATATATCTGCTTAAAACGAATAGTCTCAGAAGGAAATTTTGGTGGTGATTTAAAGATAATTAGATTCCCAATTACACTTTCTTCAGTAGGTCTAATTTATAAACAAACCTAAGGAGTTTGGTAGATTGACTTTCAAATGTCTTTATGAATTTAATTTATTACAATAAAATTTCGAATATTGATTATGAATTTGATTCATATTCCAATTTCATATAATAAAAATATTTAAAAAAATTATGACTAATAATGGAGAAATTAAGCATTACAGTACGTATATGTGGAAGACACTTGGTTACAACTTACACAGTTGAGAATCGGCCCAAGTTGGTCCGGTCCAATACACAGTGTTCTTCTCCCCATTATCCAATGAATGCTCTTCTACACTGATTACTGAATTTAAGTGGACTAAAAGGATGACGTTGGTTGATGCATACACATATACTCACACACACACACACATATATATATATATGTAAGTGAATATAAATTTTTTATTTGGTAAATTGGGCATGTTAAGTATAGTCGGGTACTTATAAGTTGCATGAGTTTGGGTGGAGGTGAGCAAGCCGAGGCTGATTACGAACACAAGTGAAAATATATATATATATATATAAACACATATCGCCATCCTTCTCTTCCCCTCTCTCTTTCGACTTTCAATGCTGATTTAGCCCCTTACTCTCTGCTCCTCCTCCAGTTTATATATATACATATTTTACATATATATATATATATTACTTGCACACAAAAAAAAACTACCGAGTCGCACAACTGGATAAGACCTCTCTTTAATCCGTCCCAATATTTAAGTACATTCAATCATCTCTCACTCTCTACATAACACAACAATTTACCACTAATTATCTTCTTCAAAAATATTAATACACAAGGTTTTAGCTAAATGTCTTCTTCTTCTTCTTCTTCTTCGTTGTCTTCTTCTTCTTCTTTCTCTGATCTCTCTTAAACCCATCAACCAGAAAACCCTCTATACCTTACCAGGTATATATATCCCATTACCCACATACATAATATATATACACACACTGGGTACAAGTTTACCATATATTTATATAATCAGTGTGTTGGATGGATTGCTTAAGAGAAATACAAGGGAAGGAAGCTCATGATCCGATGAGTACGAGTTGTAATTGTAATAACAAGTCGGTGCGACGCGTGTGGGTACCGGGTCCGGTTATAGTCGGGGCGGGTCCGTCCGGTCTAGCAGTAGCGGCGTGTCTGAAGGAGCGAGGGGTGCCGTGTGAAATCCTCGAGAGATCCAACTGCATAGCTTCGTTATGGCAGCTAAAAACCTACGACCGTCTCCGTCTACATCTCCCAAAACAGTTTTGTGAACTGCCGTTAATGGGTTTTCCCGCCGATTTCCCAACTTACCCCACGAAGCAGCAGTTCATATATTACCTCGAAGCTTACGCTCGCCGGTTCGACGTCCGTCCACGGTTCAACGAAACTGTGGCTGGGGCGGAGTATGATGGAACGGTGGGGTTCTGGCGCGTGAGGAGTGTGGGAGGAAAAGGGGGGGAGATGACGGAATTTGTTTGCCGGTGGCTGGTTGTGGCGACCGGCGAGAATGCAGAGGCGGTGAAGCCGAAGATTGAAGGAATGGAGGAATTCGGAGGGGATATCCGGCATACCAGTTCGTATAAAAGCGGAGATGTTTTTAGAGGGAAAAGGGTTTTGGTAGTTGGGTGCGGGAATTCTGGGATGGAGGTCTGTTTGGATCTCTGCAATCATAGTGCCACTCCTTGGCTTGTCGTCAGAGATTCTGTGAGTGCTTTTTTTATTCTTTGCCAAACACGATGCTAATACCTGTCTTTCTTCTGCCCTAAAATTTCTACTCCAGATTTTTTCTTTTTTCTTTTTGTAGTAAAGAATAGGAGAACTGTATATACATATATATATATATTATTCATACATGATGAAATTTTCTAGAAAATTTGTTTTAAGGTATAGAAGTTGGATTAAACAAGAAGACACCTATCTAGGTAGAAAGTTTGCTTTTTGATTCTTAGGTTTTGGTATACAGGATTTTCTTTTTTCTTTTTTCTTTTTCAAATACAGCAATTATGATGAATTAAGGGTACCCATCTGTTTTCCTATAATTTTTGTTGCCATTCTCAAAAAGTTATAAGAATTGAAAAACAACCCAATTTCAGAAAAAAAAAAAAAAAAAGTCTTGTCTTTTTAAAAAAATTGGTCGTGTAGGAAATGGAAAGAGGAAAAAGGGTAGGGCTCCCAGTAGTCAATTATTTATAAAGTTGATATATATATATATATGTACACATATAAAGTAAGAAATTGCAAATGTTGGTATATTAGTGAGTTCAAGTTCCAAAACGTTTAATCCCTTGGAAAAGATGAGAGTAGATACAAATACAGGAAGGAGGTATAGAAAAAAGGAAAATTATATATGTATGGGGTTATAAATATGAGTTTCTTGGGATTCCCAAACGAAAGCATGCGCAATATTTAGCTTGATGATTAAATGGTGTAGTGTATATAATGGAGAAATGGCCTGGATTCAACCCATCAATTATCTCCTCCTCTTACCTTTTTTTCCCTTAACTTTTTGCTTTTTTAAAAAAAAAAAAAATTCAAATTTATATATTTTTGCTGTAAAATATAAAATGTTTTGAAAAAATGTATCTGAAACTGAAGGTGCACGTACTACCACGAGAGATGCTGGGAAGATCAACATTCGACTTGTCCATGTGGCTACTCAAGTGGCTTCCCATGGGCATTGTGGACTCCTTGTTGCTCATTCTCTCCCGCCTCATGCTCGGCGACACCTCCCGCTTCGGCTTACACCGGCCCGCCACGGGTCCTCTCCACCTCAAGAATTTGTCTGGGAAAACTCCCGTCTTAGATGTCGGCACCCTTGCCAAGATCAAATCTGGACACATCAAGGTATGTATACATACATATATACATGTATCTCACTCCTCCTGTTTTTATGTGTACGTATAGATATATGATTATAAGTGGGTGTACTCCTCCTGTTTTTATGTGTATGTATAGATATATGATTATAAGTGGGTGTATGTGTATAGGTATGTCCAGGGATCAAGAGACTAAAACGACGTGCAGTGGAGTTTGTTAATGGCAAGATCGAGAATTTTGATGCCATCATTCTTGCAACTGGTTACAAAAGCAATGTGCCCTCTTGGTTAAAGGTACCTTTTTTTCTTTTGAATTTCTCTAATATATATATGTATGTATATGTATATGTATATGTAAAGAAAAAAAGAAAGTAATAAGGAATTAAATAAATATAATTGGTGGTAGGAAAGGGAGATGTTCTCGGAGAAAGATGGGTTGCCGAGAAAGCCATTTCCCAACGGGTGGAAAGGTGAGAACGGATTGTATGCGGTAGGGTTCACCAAACGTGGACTTCTGGGTGCTTCAATGGATGCCAAGAGAATAGCTGAAGATATTGAACGTTCTTGGAAACTTAGTATAGCCTTTGGATCTCAATCATGATTTTTTTCTTTTACCCTTTACCTAATTCATTGGAGAATTTTGATCCTACTCCTCCAATTTTTTTTTTTTTCTTTTTTATTTGTTCGATTTAACGGTAAAAAGGTATACTCCGATAAAATTTTTCCGATATTAAGTACCTGGTACATTCGGAATTTTACTTTCGGAATGTTACCAGCGAGAATCAAACCGAACCTACATAATCGAATTAGAGAGTATACTTCATTACAGACAGACTAACTCTTTTTTCTCTGTACATTTTAATTGTATATTACCAATTTTTTTTCTATTTAATTACCCTTCATTTTTGCACGCTAGACTGGAGAATTTTGTTGTGTGTACAACCTGATTATATATAATTCTGAGTGGGGGATTTTGGGAGATTAACACTAATTTTTCTCTGCTACTGCAAATTTTCTTTTAGGGTTTTCTTTCTTCCTCTTCCTTGCTTATTTTCAAGGAGACAGAAAAAAGAAATGAATATATATATGTATGTAAATGTATGACGGCTTCCTTACTATTTCTTATATCTGTTTGGTGTTTTTAGTTATTCCTTTTGGTTAATATATCAAACATAATGTGTGTGTGTATGTATAGATAGATCAATATAACCTTTTTGTGTCTCAATGCAATTTCGCTGTCAAAATGATTTCATTCCCAAATAGAAAACTTGGACCACTTGTCATAATAAATTAAATTAAAATCTGCATTTAAAATTTTGCAGAGAAAATTGTTCGTTGCCATATATTGACAATCTACATTAATTTTAATTTACTCACTTCTTCTATTTAAATTTAATTTACGGTTATTAAACTCAATAGTTTATAAATTCTGAGTTTTATTATACATTTTATGTGTTCTTATTAATAAATTATATTATTATTAGTGTGTGTATATTACCTAATTTATATATATATATATATTTATAAATATACATTAATTATTAATAATTAATATCATTAATCACTATTTTTAAGTTTGTAATAATAAAAAAAAAAAAAAAAAGATTTCAAAAAATCAAAGTGGGATCCCATTAATTAATTCATTTGGGATTAACATATATTATGTATGTATATGGGGGGGGGGGGGGGGTTTACTCTTATTAATGTGTAAGTATAATCACATTTCCATTACAAGAAAAGCAAAATAAAGATCACGAGGGTTCCAATTCTGGTTGGAAAATGCATATTGCTCCATTCTAGAGTAATCATTGATTGCTCCATAGTGATTGAATCCTTGTCATGCTCTATTAAGAAAAAGTCATATATCTATATATATATATATATATATATATAAATGTACGCACAGCTATTTTAATGGCGCATGCAATTTGGACAAAGAATCCTTTCAGCAAAACCAGTTGACCTTGATCTTAATTCCCTTTTTAAGGTCTAAGCGGTGAGTGGGTAACTTGAACATGAAGTAGTCAAGCAGAAGCAAAATTCCTCACTCTCTTCTATACTCCCATTAAATATATACATATATATATATATATCCTGTCAAACCAGAAAATGATAAGAACAATTATTACATGTTTAATAAGAACATTTAAGTTGACAATCCCATAAATATATATCATAAAATTATTAAAATTTGTATGATTTCTCCATTAATTTGTACTAATTACACCAACTTATTTTTAAAAAATTGAAATTTAATTAAAAGAAATGAAAAAAGCCCAACATTATTGGATATTTTTGGAAAACTAATCATTTCAGGGTGAAGAATAATATGAATCAACCAAATTCAAATTCCAAATCAATTATCACTCAAGTGTCAACCTTATAGAAGAAACATTATACGACAAATGATTGAAGCAGGATTTTGGTCCAACTGAGATTTCAGACATGCACTACAAAATTTAGTGGCTTTTCACATGCACAATTCACATGGTATGTAGGCCTTATTATTAATTTCTCTCCCACTCTCATCTACTTTTACTAACAAACAAAATATGTATATCTCTCACCCATTTACCCTAACTAATGATTATATATTAAACAAAGGGATTATGCTAACTTACTTACAAAATAATGACTTTATAGACTTTAAAAGTTTTTTTTTTTTTTTTTAATTTATTTCTCTATTATAGTTCTTAACGAGATAAATTATCAAAATAGTTTCAAAACTTTAGTCAATCTTACACTCAAAACATAAATGTATTTCTTGATAGAAACTAGTTTTTAAATTCACTGTATTATTTCAATAACTGACATCATTCAATTGGATGAAAAAAAAAATAGAACCGACTTCGTGTTTATCTAGAAATAAGGAAAAAGGTAAATTTATGGCTTAAGGTTTGTGGCAAAGAAGAATTAATTAATCGTAATGCTATTAAGCACCAGGAATTGCTCAATTGCCGGTACCTAATTAGGTTGTACATAATGCTACTTAGTTATTTAAAAATTATATGGCTACCAAGCATTCTCTTGCTTCCTATGCACTTTACCACATGGTACTTAATACTACTTAGCTAATAGAGACCATATTGAATAGTACCTCGAGACCTCGACATCCTAGGTAGGTATTTAATGTTATTGGGTATCAGGTGCAAACATTACTTCTCAAAGAGAGATATATATGTATATATAATATGTTGTCAATACGAAACAACTCTATTATTTTCTATAAGACTCATGTTTCCAAGTTCAAACTCTCTATAATATGTATTTTAAACATTGATAATTATCTCATATCAACTTGTACAAAAATATTAATCTATTATAATAAAAGGCTATTGACTTCCTCGCTTTATACCGCACCATACTTTTTATTTTCTAGAACTCTAAACTAACTTAAGCATATAATCATCCCCTTGTAAAAAATCTCAAGAGCGACGTTCGTTTATGGTTTCAAGTATAAGTATAATACCGAGTCGACTTCTTATTGCCAAATAACTAACCACTAATTTCAACATCATTAGAATTATTAACCAAAATTTTTACTTTTTTATATTATTTTCAAAGATTCCTTAACATAATAAATAGAGACATACATATTCCTTTGTATTTATTATTTTCTACTATTATGTTAGTAACCACAAATGTCTAGAGAATTTTTATTCACCATCCTAACGTGTTTATTGAAACAAGAAAGATTTTAAAATTTTATCGTTTCTCTATTATTAGCAAGTGGAATTTGTTTTATACATAAAGTGATTGTTGTTCAAATATCTAAGGCAACCCAAGAGGGGGAGAATTAGATTTTTAAAAGTTTTAAGATTTTTAGGCAAAAATAATCACAAATCAAATACACAAGAAATAAAAACACCAAATACATTTAAAAGATAAATAGAGTAAGTAATAAAAGAGTTAAGAGATGGAAAATACATATTTATGGAGGTTTAATCACTCAACTTTCTTACATTCTCTTCACCAAGTTAATCACTTAAGCTATTCACTACTCTCAACAAACTTCTTTAATAGTTAGCTCTCTTTATGGTGTACACATGTTTTTCACAAGGATGAACCACTCAAGAGGATTTCTCATGTCTCTTTTACAAAAGCTAAGATATTTAAAGAAGAGATTTCAAGTTTTCTATCTAAAAGACCAAATATATAGGTCAAAGCTTACTTAGAATTCAAATGTTAGGTGAATAAGAAAAATGAGAACTTTTGCTTAATTTTCAAAATGATTTATCTAAAAAAAAAAGTTATTACAAGATTGTGTAGAGGAAGCTATTTAAAATGTTCAAAAAGAAAAAAAAAAGCATTAGATGCAAATAATGATCATATCTGAATACTAAAAAATACTTTAAAAAAACTTTAAGAGTTATTACAATAGGAGTGATGTAATGAATTGCATCACATCACTTCCTCACATGCATTTAAAAAACACAAACTTTTGTGTGAGAGGAAACCATGAGATGCATTCCTCATATTATATTGCTTGAATACCTCTTAGTGTGATGAGGTAATTTGACAAATTTCATCACATTATATTAACTGCATACCTCTTGGTTTGTTGAAGTTATGTGATGTGTTTTATTACATCATATTAGATGGACACTTCTTAATATTTCAAGGCTATTAGACCCTTTTTGTCATGTTACATTGCATAACCTGGCATCTATCACATGGTCCATAAAACATCTTTTCAAAATTCAATTAAAATTTTCTCCAAATTTTGAAATGTTTGAAAACTATTTTAAAGAACTTTTACATCAACCTATTAAAAAAAAACATCTAAAACTTTTTCCAAAGATTTTTTTGATAAATTTAAAGGAATAAAAAATAATTCTTGAGCCAACTTTTTGTATCACATACTTAGAAGAAAAATTTACTTACAAAAATCATTCAACAAATATTAGTATAAATTAATTATTATCATTAGTCCAAATCAACATAAATATTTCAATAGATGATATTATATATATATATATATATGACAGACTACCATATTTTATATAATTGTGTTCTTTATGATTTATTTTTCTTCATGTTATAACACTTAATAACTTATATATATTACATAATAACTTATATATATTACATATTAATATAAATGAGACAACTGTTTATAAAACTTTATGTGGTGTTAGAGCATCTTGATCACAAAATATAAGAATCCAAATTTTTCCTCTTTATTAGTTTCTCAATCTATTTCCAGGTCATTTCTCACTGGCCATTTTATCCTTCCTTTAGTGTGTCCTACATTAAAAGTTATATAGGTGAAACCCCAAACTTTACTAACTATTTAATATGAAAATAATTATTTCATGTGTTTCATATTCATTGTGTCATAGATATAGTGATGGGACTAGTTTCGATCCATTTATTACTTTCGTTGGTCTAGATATAACTAGGTTGATCTTTTAGTTTTTTCTTGGACCTGATCCCATGCATAGGTCCACATTCTTTAACCTAATGCCATTATATCTATTCAATAAGCATTGCTTGCATGAAATAAATTCTTATGACCAATTCTAGTATACATTTTATTTAATTTAAAATATTGATTTTCTAACATCGCATAAAAATATTTCTCTATTGCTTCTTATTTTGAAAAATAAGAACATTTTCTAATTATCTGGTGTGAATCAAAATGTGAGTTAACTAAAGATAGTTTACTTTTTCAATTCTTAGAAAGCTTCTTATCAATTATGAGATCATAATTTTGTTTTTTTTTTTCCGTAATAATGGCTACCATAATTATTAGTTTGAGTTGGCAACAAAAGATTAGGTTTGTTAAAACTAAAACACTCTTTAGCTTCAATAAGTTTTTTT